TTTTACTAAATTTAAACTTATTTTTTTCTGAGGTGGTATGATTTTAATTTGCATACAAACAATGACAGATTTGATGACAGAAAGCTATTGCCAATTTTCTTCTAACAAATTAGAATATCATACTATGAGAGTGTGTGCTGAAATACTGTTGATATGGTAAATGGTCTTCGGGATTCGTATTTTTAAAATAAATTAAATATTTATCTTTAATGAACTTTCTAAAATAACAATCGAATCGAATAGAAAATTTAATAAATGCAGACTAATGAAAAGAAAATAGGTATATGTTTTTCAACTTATTTATTTCTATAAAAAATATATAAAACTTCTTTAATCACCAACATGATCACTTGAATTATTAAAAGTAAAATTTCATTTGCACAATTACCAAATACAACTAATGTTTTAATACTTACGTCTTTATACATAACTATAAGGAATGTTATAGGTCAGTTCCACAAATGTCCACTACGTATAGTAACAAATTTATATCTAAACTATTTACGTTGGACGTTTGTGCAACTGGCTGTATTTCAGCGAGATTTCTATTAAGACTATTAAGTAAAATCAGTCTTTACAGGGCAAATAAGATTTACATGCCTGAAGTGACAGCCGAAATACTAGCCAGTCGATTTCTAACATAACCACTAACGCAATTAGGTTTAAAATCATTGGCAAAATTTTATGATTTCAGCTTCACCTGATGTGCTTGTGACTGTATATCTAGGGGTATATAATCTTTATTAATATTATAAAAAGGAAAGATTTTATTGTTTGTTTTCATCGAGTAGGCTCTGAAACAACTGGACCGACATTAAAAATTGTTTCACCTATGGGAAGCTACATCATACGCATGTGATATAATATACGCTGGCGAAGTCATGGATTAATTAGGGGAAACAGCTAGTTTCTACATAATAATAGATACGCCCATCATGTGTCAAGTATAAACAATTCCTCCAGCATTTTGTCTTCAAACGAAGTGGGGACGGCACGGCGTTGTTTCCTGTACTGCCAGTCATCGTTCATAAAACTCCTGCAGAACAAAAATAACCGAGTTAGAACTCGGCTGTTTTAAGAAACTATTATAATATCCGACTATAGGCCATATAACGCAACTTTCTGTCGCCAGACTGCACCACTAGAACATATAGTAAACAATTTTTATAAAAGTCATTAGTATTGTATGAGTATAGTAGGTACAATTTTTTTTTTAAATATACAATTAGAAAGAATGTAATTTTATCCAATAACACATCATTACCGCATATCATTAATTTCCAAAAGACTTTTTATTTCTTTTGTTTACTACATGTGCCGCCATCTACAGAAAGCTTTGCGTAATACTCCCTATTCTATTGCTTTACCTCTTTTTTATAAATAAATATTAGATAGCATTGCTTAGGTTGAAAGATGAGTAGCTAACCCTAATATTATTCAGTATCTGAGATAGCGAGGATACCGCAGCACCTTTTCAATATTAATCCGACCGGGAAACGGACCCGAGACTTCAGAGATGGCGACCAAACCAATATGCGACCCAGTCGGCCACGGGGGTCGAAATCGTCATTAGTAATTGTACAGTTGCCCATTCGAAGACACGCCTTCTTTCTTTCGGAAGTCTGATAAACCTCTATAGGTTTATTTCACAACACCATACTTACTAGAACCTTAACGAAAGTTAATTAACATGACGCAAGCACATTGTCAGTTTCTAGAGAAACTTAATCTTTTTATTCTTTTCAATTATGGAAGAATATTAAACACGTATTCATTTTTATTTTTTTCCGTAATCAATAAATTAAGATATAAAAAATGAATAAACGGAGATACATTGAGTTGAAATATCACATGACGTCACTCCTTCGTACGTTTGTTAGTTGAGACATAATGAGCCCCGTCTCCTCAACTTTATTACCTATTATCTCAGTTATTTCTTGTTAAATTGAAGTATAAAAAATACTTATATAATATTATTCTATTGAGTGACGAACTAAACAGAATTTCTTTTCATAATGAGAAGCTGAATAAAAACTAACTATCGAATCGATCTGCCATGCCCTCTAGAGGAGTGGTGTCTCTGTTTTATTTAAAATGCCGCACGCAACCCATTAAAATAATTAGTAATTCTAACCATGGCAATCAGTCGTTATAAACCACCACTAACACAAAAGAAATAAAATGTATGTACAGTTAAGCACAACTGTATGTAAGTAGAACACTAACTTATTTTGGAACGAACAATCCAATAACGCGCTATCACCTGACCCCGCCGAGTGTGAAACGGAAACCTAGTGCTTTTATACCTTTTCATTACTAAAATAAGACTGATTTAATCATGCGGTCGGTTCGGGCATCGTGGAATTTATTATCGAGATATTTACAATGTACAAACAGCAACTTTCAACTATTATGGCGCATGGGGAATCTTAGCATAGAGTAGGGAATGCAATCCGGATACTTCGGAATTCGAAAATCCGGGATTATAGAACTTTTTAAAATCTGGTTTTAAAACTCGATCCGGTTTTTTCGGATTTGACTTAAAACTAAATTAAACAAATCGAACTGCGCATTGCCACTTCGACACGCGAGCGTATCTCTCTACTCCATTTCAGATACATTTTATAAAAAATCTCCATTCTTCACCTATAAGTTTTAAAGAAAAGCTCAACCATCAATTTCGTCTTTATTATATTTGATCAATTTTACATTCACAATGCCATACTGAAAAATATTCTTAATGAAAAAGGCTTAAAAAGTTTCTCTTTTAAAAAAATAAAGTGTTTGAGCGGAATACCTTGGAGAACAGCTGCCCAAATGTGTACCTTATTATTTCCCACCCTTGAAAATGAGTTTTTTTTTTCGTTGTCAAGCTCTTTATTCTATTAAAAATCAAATCATTATAGTAATAATCACTGATACCGAGTTCGATTTCAGCTTCGATCAGCATATGTACGCTTAAAACAAACTTAGAATATCGTACATTTAATCATGCTTTGTCCTACTTTAAAGCATAAAGATGAATACGTTACCAGCATAATAAACGACGAAACAACTCACGAAACATATCAAAACAGTGTTAGAAATTATCTTAATTTAAGTATGAGAAATTATAACAAATTTATTTAAGTCAATTTTTATTACACCACTATTTAACATTTTTTAAAGTAAATTTACTACAAAATCAATAAACTATTATATCTTAATCTTAATAATATATAAAGCTGCATTACTAATTAGTATTTGGCATAAAGAGTCTGTTAACAAACTACTTTCACAATTATTTATGTGTGCAGGTCAAGTTATTTCTACATATATATTAACGTAGAAAATTAATTGAAAACATTTGTCAATTTTGTAGAACTTGTAGGCTAATTGTCTAATTTTAAAATAAAGTCTAATCCCTTTCAAATATACAGCGATTGTGATAGCGATTTATAGATTTTTTTTTTAAATGCTTTTAGAACGAATGACGATTTGAATCACCCAGAAGCATAATAAAAACTTAGTTAAACTCGTCGAAAGATTGCAGTTTATTTATTTATTTATTAAGATACAAAACAGAATATAATTAATACAAAACATAACTTGTTATTTATCTTGCAAAATCCAATTATACCCAATAATATGTATCTCTAGCATGATTAAAATGGAGCAGCATTAAAGCTAATGATATTAATTTTAGTCCAAGTTGAACTTTGCAAAACAGAAAAACAGTGTGATACAGATATGTTAATGTTGATTATGATGACATAATCCTTGAATTAAATAGTGACATTACTTTCTTTTTGAATGTATATCTGTTACCGTCGAATATATCTATGTCAGTTAATCATAACGTTCGTTCAATATCTTAAACGACTCGTGATGGCAATCGCTACCACATGTCAAATAATACTAGCTTAAGTTCGTGAATACCTTTCAAATGCCATATCGCTCACTGAATACTACAGTGGCACAACTCAAAAACTATATTTCGAGAAACGCTCTCCGAAGTTATGAAAATTTAATATATTTATAATTATGAAAATCATTTTTTTTAGCAGAACAGTTAAATCGTTTGTATTATATTATTACTGTTAAGTCTTTTATTTTTTCTTTAAATTATCTATGGGATGCCACCACAATGTTGTGGCGTTTTCTCGAAAAAATGATTTTTGAGTTGTGCCACTGTAGTATTCAGTGAGCGAATGGAAAAGGATTGCGATAGATTTTAAAATTACTTAGACAATAAGGCCCTTGATGTACTGACTTTGTTTTAATTACATATAAAAATATCACCTCAACACACTACATAATAAACATTTTCATTTAATATTTATATTATTATTTCAATTTTCACAACTAAGTTCAGACACTATAAAATATCAAATATATATATATTTATTTTCATTCATATATAAATGCGAATTTATAATATCATATATAAATAATAATAATTAATGTATATGTAGCTAATACAATAATACAACATATATTAACGAAAGGATACATATATAAATAAATAAATGCGTAGAAAACTTGTTTCTCATAAACTAGAGAACAACTTTGGCTTATGACTTATCTACTAATCAACAAAGGTTAAAGATTTCGAACGTTCACCGATAGATGGCGCTATTTAGAAATAGAATAAACGATTGCTCTTTAAAATCAACACGAACTCATCTGCATTTACGTCTTACAGCTAATTCACAAATCACAGATAATCCCAAATACAATTATCATATTAGCGAAAATTGGCGTCATATATCTTCAATTAAAATGAAATAAATTTCCTATAAATATAAATAAAGTAGGAAAGACACCGCCTGTCTGTAAGCGGGCCCCATTCCTCGATTAGAGAGAGTGGAGATCGCCGTAACTTAGCATCTCCTTCTACTAACGAATGCGCAGTAAAAGACAGTCAGTGTAATGATAATGGTGTGTCGTATATCTTCTTCCTTAATCAATGTTCTTTATATCCCTGATTTGAAATATCGTTTTTTTATTCTTTTTTTATTATATCATCGGGAACCCAACGTAGGGTCGTCAAAAACATCATAAGTCATTCTTCTGCTTCCTCTCCGCGGTAACTACGCAAGCGCAAGTAAAGACAGACATGAGCCGCAGACTTCTCCCTCTTTCTAACCAAAGGACAGCTGAAATTCTGGTCTCCCTACTCTATATTCATTACATTTACGTTCTACTGTCCAAAGAAAAACTAATTAGATACACTTTGATTTAACTTTGATTATATCGTTAGCGGGCGTTTAATTATGACGTCACCATTGACGCACAAACTGTAATCACTTAAGTGAGTCACCTTTAAATTTGAAGTAAAAATTCGAAACTTAATCAAAATAAATATATGTGGTATAGCTAGGCAATCTGCTCGGTGCGATACCTCTCAAAGAAGTGCAGCAGCTCGAAGCAAACCTCCACCATGATGAGGACGATGATCATCCACTCCAATCGGACGTGGTGCCGATCTGATGCCCACTGAGATAACAACTGCAGAAGCTCCACGCAGTGTGACAGCCGCTCGTTCAACACCTGGATACCGGTACATAGAGTATTGGTTTCCAAACATTATTCTTTTCACACAACCATCGAAACCAGAAAAACTATTCATATGTTGTACGTGAAAGAATGTTTAAGAACCAATGCTTTTGAGAAAAACTCGTCTAATATGTGAGATTTAAACACAGTCGGGTCTCTATATGATCTTAAGGAATCACTGATAAAGACTGATAAACATAGAGTGCAAGAATTTCATCTAAGCACAATCAACTACAATAACAAAAAATAGCTACTTTACGTTTGAATGAATCTGTGATTAATATTAGGTAATACGAATTTGAAGAGAAACGAAATTTCTTTTATTTAAAAGAAAATATTCATATTGCTTCAATGTCCTACTTTAGAGATAAAATTTTCATAGGCTATTGAATGACAGTCCTTGTTTAGTTTAAAAAGTGCCATTTTAAACAATATTATTTCACAATTGTCTTTTATGACCTTAAGGCATTTATTTTAATTAAAAATAAGAAAGGACCAAGAATAGAGCCCTGTGGAACACCCATTTTAACAGGGGACTATACTCAGTAAATAATTATAAAAGTATATTGATGTATCTCTAAATTCACTGCTAGTGAAATTTCTGATCAATGTTTTAAAAGAAACAATCAACACCTTTATTGCAATATGTAATTCAACACCAGCTTCGGTTGTTAAGCGACCCTTTGTAAATAGGACTCTCAGAGTAAGTTTGGAATTAATCAAGCACATACCTATAAACTTTTAAAATTTTATTTAGATAACACGCGAATAGCTCTAAGTTGCTACTCGATTTATGTAATGAAACAATTTATTGTTTCATGAGGTAACAAAACTCATATGTTTTCTCTTTTTTAAATAGATTCAGTCCTTTAATAATTTCAGTTCAGATTCTCAGAACAATGTGTAACCATCTCAACTAAAAGCATAACATAGAACCTATTCTCTCATTTGACTTTTCAAACTGTTACAAAGTTTAAAACTTTTTTTTTATTTAGTGAAGTGATATTTATTTGTACTCACCCTAGTCCGTCTGGGTATAGTAAAATACGCGACGGTAGTGGAGTAGATCCTCTCCAGCTGTTCCTGCTCCCAGTAGAAGTCGGGCGTGTCCAGCAGATCCGATTCCACGTTCAACTGGTGCCGCAGCGAGAACAGCTCACCCAACTTGCGGACTACCTGGTACAAAAATTAACATTACGGTGTTTGGGAGTAATTCTCGAAATTGAAAAATCTGTGTTTCATTCAATTTAGTGTTCGACTTCCTATCTGAAAATAACTAAAGTTTAATGTGTTTTAGAAATATACGTCATAGTGCTGGAATCAAAAGATACAAAAGGTACAGCCTTTTATGCCGCAAATCTTCGGAATCAAAACCTACCGGGCACTAGCCTTGAACTCAGAATCTTGAAATTTGGTACGAAAGTCTTATAGCACATATAAAGGAAAAATTTCGAAAGCCGAATAATTTCAAAGTTACTACTCTATGCTACTCCTTTCCTCGTGAACGTGTAGAGGAATTAAATTGAAATGCATATCAAATATCCAGGTCCTTTAAGCTGTAACAAAATCAAACTTCTATGTCAACGCAATCAAAAGAAATAGCATATTTAAGCAGCACATTTTCAAACTCGCAACTACTCGCAAGGGAATCAATACCTAAAGAATACTTATTTGACTTCATGTTTACTTATTTAATGTCATTATTAATAAACAATATGTAATTATTAGCTATTTCCAATAAAGAGAAAAAATATCATAAGAATACACTTCCAATACACAGCCCTTCTCAATCCCGTTATTGCGTTCCCTACCTTAGTAGGCTGATGATAAAGTTAAAATCTACTTGACTCAACTATTATTAACTATTAACTATATAGTTTTGAATGTTAACAAAGCCATTTCAAGCAATTTGTGTTTCAAATAATCGTTAAATATTAACCATCATTATAAAAAATAGTTTGTGTGTATACATATTAATATTTATTTTAATTTGCATATTAAAACACAAATAATTTTAATAGCCATAATTACTGAAATCTAACCCTCAAGTTCAAAACATCATACTTGGAAGGAGAATTTTTAATTTTCTTTAAAAAAAATTTAAAGAGAAATATTTTTGTTGTAACGGTAAAACTTAACTATAATAAAATGTTGTATTTTTATAGTGTTTCGTCTTGTTGATGAATAAATATTATTCTTAAATTCTGTTATAATCGGTTGTCTCTATTATAAATGAATTCGATGTATAAATTTTTGATTACCACATCATTAAAAACTTCAAATCCGTAACGTCACCGTATTCATGCTATGTGAAAAAGATTTTAGTAGCGTTAGTGAGTTAGGTCTACCTCCTTGTGTTGTATGTGTGCGATGCCGTCTCGCTGCATCAGTAGCGAATGTCTTCTGACGGCAGCGGCGAGTGCTTCAAGTCGCGCCTCCCATGCTCCTAGACGCGCTGATTGCGCCATTGCATGGCTACAGGTGGATTACAATATTTCTATTTAGTGGAAAACTGGTCAATCATTTGTTAGGCACCTCCTCAGACTCACATGTTACAATTTATATTTTTTTACATTTTCACCATATATACTAAACTTATACCCAGGGATATGGCGTGAAGATATAAATATATAGATATACCCCACAAATAAATTTTCAAATTTATTATATTTGAAAATTTAAAAATGAATTAACTGTATAAACATAAAACTACCTTTATGATTAAAAAATTAAACAAATATAGTTTTATTTACCTGAAAGCGAACTTTTCCAATAAATTATCCTTCTCCGGCACTAACACAAAACCAGACTCTTGTAGGTAACACTTTTTTCTGGAAATAAAATTGTTTTTGAATATTATAATTAAAAAACGAAATACCAAAATTTCATTAAACAATTTGAAATACTTACGCATTTGGTTGATAACTGTAAGTCATTATTTCTCTCTCCTTTTCAATCACATCTCTTGGATAACTATCAATTTCAAATCTGAAAATAAATATAAAAGTGTTTATATGTAAATTTTCGTTTTGTCATTAACATAAATGCATATATATAACATTAATATTAGAATGTATACTTAAAAAACGAATATAGGTTAGATTTTAAGAAATAACTCTCAACATAAAATGAACTGAACATTAAAAAAGAAAAGAATTTCTTTTTGGTCCATAAGTCAGATAATATCAAAATATTAGATACATTTTTTTTGCCTCAATTTAAACAAGAAATGGCTTAGATTATAGACATTATGGTTGGGGGCTCACCAGTCACAGTTTGTAGGAAATGTACAAAAGCATGACGTCATGTGACATTTCAACTCAATGTGTCACCGTAATTTATTGATTATGCAAGAAATAAAAAAAAACTGTATTAAATATTCTTCAATAATCTACCTGACGGACAAACAAACAATAATTTGTTGTCATCGCTATTAAGAATTATGGATATCTAATATTTTCCATCATTCATAAAACTTAGGTTTTCTTCTATGTTTTATTTTAATATTCTTTTTATTATTGCATCCTACTTGTTGGTTTTGATCTGCTCTTTATCTTCATAAGACTTTTCTCCATGCAGCATAAGATATGTCTGATGTATTTTTATATTACTTTCACTTGCTTTGTTAAAAAAATTGGGACTTCACTTTTAAATGGACAAATAGAAGTATTTTATTTTGTTAAATCTTCAACAACTGTTAAAGCTGGCTTCCACAACCATTCAACCACCAGATTCCAAAGAATTTTTTGTATACAATAACAATGAAAGTAATGCTGTTTTAAGAGTTGTTCTTTTGGTTAGTAAGATTTTTTTTTCACCATTCATCAATTTTTTCAACCTTTAATGATTGTTCCAAACCTAAGGAATGGTCCCTGGAGGGGTGTAAAACACAATGATTTTTGCGAATTGTGTAACCGTTTGTACATGTGAATTTGTGTATAAGTGGTATATGGCAGGTCATATGAATGGGTATGGAAGTTGCTAGATATCATAGTTCCACAATTATAGCAATGTACTTCTACAAGATAATGCCTGATTCTATTATATTCTGTAAACACATACTCATGGTGATCAAAAATTACTTCAAAACAAATGTAATTTGATTAATACTATATATTTACTTTCTAACTAATTCCAAAACATTGCTGGCCTCCAATTCTGTACAATTCCAGAATACTACAGCACCTTCCCTGAAGAAAATTATCTCTCTCGGCTCTGATCCGACACTGTACACTGCATTTGCTATCACCACATCACCCACCTCCTGTGCTTGTAACCTGAAACATATTTGAATATGATACAGTTAAATTAATAACAATGATTATTGAGTGAATATAGTTTATAAAAATATCTCTTTTGTATATCATAAAAATACCCCATCATCGGAAGTGCAATTTAGCATCTGGATGTTTTTAGAGATGGGTAATAATATTTATGATGTTAATAATTAGTTTTATATATGTGCAAATTTATTTATTTCATTTTTACACATCTCTAAAAAATGTAACCCACCAAATATATATATAGTTGATTTGTTCTGGTCCTTGACTCTGTAAATGTTGACACAATTTGTTGTATTATGATTAGATCCCATTATCGAAGGTGCAATTTGGTGGGTTACATTTTTTAGAGATATATATATTGTTGTGTATGATAATAATTGCTCAATTATTTTAATATTGCATCATAAAAAGATAACAATTAAAACAAAATAATGTTTACGTTGCCGGTTCATATAACTTCTGCTCCACCAAAGCTTCCTTTAGGCCCTTCAAATCGTAGCTGTTCGCGGTCACGTAGGCTAAAGATAGGTAATGTCCTTCTTTGTTAGTCAATTCATCCAAGCTCGCTTTTTTATATAGTATCTTCTTTTTCAAAGGTATCGACGGATTTTCTAATACTACAGGCGAACGAACGTCTCCAGTTGAGTAATTCCTAGTCTTTATAATACACGGTAGACACAAAAAAGAGTTTTTCTTTGAGTATAGATTAAGTTGTGGAAGAAATTGTTCCGGTACATTGAAACATCTCATTGATGCGCTGCGCACGGTACTATACACGATTCTTGATAAGTACACAGTCATAGTTATATTTCTGATAATTATTATTGTACCACAGTGTGAATTAAAAGTTTAAAATAATTTATTACATAAAATTAAGGTTAAGTGAAGCACAGAACGACACACAAAAATTTTTTTTTTTTTTTTTTTTTATTATAAAGAGCATTGGCTACCAAGGCCATCAGCTTAATCCTTTAGTGCATACATATAATTAGAACTAAACACTACTACAAAATCCTTAGACTAAAAAACCCTTAAAATTATGTTATATAAATATTAAATATTAAATGTAAGAAAGAAGAATCATATTTGATATAATCATTTACAGAAGACCAAAAGTATTACTATAAAAATGATAAATTATTACATACAAATCAACTATTTTAAGCATGTCCTGCACATTTTTTGGAAAAATTTTGTTTTTTAGATGATCTGTACACAAAGAAACAAAAAGAAGACGCTGCAAGTTAAAATATTTACAATTAAAAAATAAATGCTGAAGGTCACATATTGTCTCTGTACAATATTTACACAATGCACTGTCGCTTAATCCGAGGCGGTGAAGATGGGATGGGAATTTACAATGACCTATTCTTAATCTACAAAATGATGTTATGAAGTTCCTATTCGGGGTAGTCAATTTCTCAAACCAGGCTTTAGTGGTGGGCACAGGGACAATTTCGGCATGCCATTTACCCTTAGTAAGACGTGAATTGGCTAGGGATATAGTCCATCGTTTGATCATATTTTCTTTTAGACGAATTATTAAATCACTATATGGCACTTTGTAATCATTTATCAGTGTTATATTCTGTGCGGATCGTGCAAGTTTATCTACGAGCTCATTCCCAAATATGCCGGAATGTCCCGGTACCCAACAAAATTCAATTAATAAATTACATTGATTCAATAGTTCAACCAGGTTTCTAAGTTCATAAACTAAGTAGTTACATTTCACATCAATACATTTATCCTTTAATGCAAACAGTCCACTCATAGAATCACTAAGTATTATAAATTTGAAAAATGATGATGAACTGAAATTCAATAATATATATTTAACAGCATAAATCATGCCTAAGATTTCAGCAGAAAAAATTGAGAAATTGTGATCACATGAATAAACTTTACCAATTTTATTACAAGAATCGTAAAATGCAAAACTAGTGCGATTATTTGTTTTAGAACCATCAGTATAAATTTTTATGTAATCTTTTTTCTCGCTCAGAAACTCATAAAAGTCTTGTTTTGAATCGAATCTCGTTAACGTAACTTCAACATCACGTAGCATTACTGCAAAGTTGTAAGAGAAACAAGGAGGTTTAAACGACCAATAAATTATATCTTGAAATTCAAAGTTTAAATAGGTGATTGATTCTGTAATGGAAGGCATCGCAGGTATAGGAATATTATTATAATTAGGGATTGCAAAATTTTCAAGGTAACGACTAACTAAAACATTGTCACGACTAATTAAATTCAGACAAAATTTTTCTGATAAATAACTTCTTCTTATATGTAAAGGCGGTACTCCAGATTCGACTTCTAAGGAATTTATAGGAGAAGATATCATAGCCCCTGTAACTATTCTTAGCCCTTTATTTTGAACAATATCTAGTTTTTTCAGAAACTGTTTGGATGCGTGAGCATAAAAAATACTACCATAATCTAATTGACTACGAACTGTAGAAATAAAAAAGCTTTTCAATATTTTTGGATCAGAGCCCCAGTTAACCCCAACCAGAGATTTCAAAATATTTAAACGCAATTCTGCTTTTTTACATGAATATGTAATGTGGGGACCCCAAGATAATTCTGAATCAAGTATGATACCTAAATACTTCTCAGACGTTTTGTAAGGTATAAGAGTATTATTATAATATATACGAGGACTGACAGGGCAACTATAGGCAAAGAGCATAACTGAACTTTTGTTTACGTTTACTTCTAGTTCTAATTGATTATTTAACAAGTTACTAAGATAGGTAAGACAATTGTTCATAATTCGTTCACCCTTACACAGATCTTCACAGTCTAAGTATATAACAACGTCATCAGCATAGAAAGTATATTTAACTAAATTCGGTATGAGTTTCATAAAATTTACAAGACTTAAAATAAAAAGTAGTGGTGAAATAACTGATCCTTGGGGGGTACCTTTAAAAGACTTACACGGACCGTATAAATTATCCCTAATTTTTAATGTAACGGAGCGACCATTTAAAAACTGAAAAATCCAAAATAAAACTGGACCAGGAATACCTAATGAACTTAAAGTTTGAATCAAGTACTCGTGTTTAATATTATCGAATGCGCCTTTTATGTCTAGAAAAACGGCGATAGTTATTTTATTTTTTCTAAGATTACTTTGTATGTCGCCTAATAAACAACCTAAATTGTACATCGTGCTCTTTCCCTTGCGAAAACCAAACTGGTAATCAGGTATAAGAGAGTTATGTTCGATAAACCATTCTAATCTATTTTTTAACATTGTCTCAAATAACTTTGCTAAGCACGAAGTCAAAGAGATGGGTCTATACGCATCTGAGCTATTGCCATCCTTATTAGGTTTTAAAATAGGTATTACAATCTGAGTCTTCCAGATAGGAGGTATAATATTATTTTTCCATAGTTGATTGTATATATTTAAAAGAAGACTTTTTGCGTTTTCAGAAAGATTTTTAATGACAGAATATGGAATATAATCAGGGCCTGGTGAAGTATTCTTTTTATTATTTAAGGCAGCTTCAAATTCAAACATATGAAAGGGATTTTGGATCCATTTCGCTGACTCACTTCCCTTGGATGTGAAGTACGAATCTAAATTATAGGAATTTATATCAGAAGAATTCGAAGGAGTTATATTATTTAAATAAGCCCATGCGTTGGACTGATTATCAAAATAATGTGACCTAGAAATATTTCCTAATTTAGCAAATTTAAATCTTCTAATTTGATCCCAAATTATTTTAACAGGTGTAGTTCTGTTAAAGGAATTACAAAAATTGGCCCAACTTGAAAGCTTTTGTTCAGCTAATATTCTTTTCTTTTTAGCATCGAATTGCTTATATAAAATATAATTTTCTAAAGTAGGATATTTTTTAAATGAGTTTAGAGCGAGTTTAGCTCTTTTAACTGCTAGAGAACAAATATCATTCCACCAAATAGTAGGCTTGCGTTTTCTGTTATGGCAACTGAATTTTTGTTTTTTAGGAAATGTCATTAAAATATTACATAAATTTTCAATAAATGAAGTATAGTTTGTTAAAGGATCCGATTCTAAAGTAAAACAGGAAAAAGCATCATCACATAGCTGGGAAAATTTTAACCAATCTATTTTTAGAAAGTTAACATCAGCCAAGTAAGAAGAACTATCTGAAATATTCTGAGAATTTACGTTCTTTGCAGATGATGAAAAACTGATATGGTCGTGATACAGAAAGCTAATTAAAACGGGAAAATGATTACTGCTTATCAAATCGTCGTAAACAGAGAATGTACAACTTGAACTTACCGCAGGTGATGCAAAAACCAAGTCCAAAACGTTGCCGTTCTGATTATACGATGCAAAAGTTGTGACTGTGTGATCATTTAGGCAAATAAGATTATGGTCGTCAGCAAAAGAATTAATTATATTGCCCCTTCTGTCGTTATACCTAGAGCCCCAGGATGAATGATGAGCATTGAAGTCACCAATCAATAAATAGTTTCTGTTTTTAATATATTTATATGAATTTGAAAGCATTTCTAAATCAAATTTACCCTTAGGTGGAGGAGGTACATACACACATAGTATATCAACACAAGTGTAGCCAGTCTTGACTGAAATTAATAAATTTTGAAAGTGATAATTTGATGGTGTATTAATTACTTTATGAACATGCTTGTCTTTGATAGCAACTGCTATGCCACCATGAGGATGATCAGAATCACGTCGAATAATTTTGTAACCAGGCAACTTAAATAGCTTTGAAGTATCAAGCCAAGTTTCATTTAGAAGAATTAAATCGAATTTGGAAGAATAATTATTGAGAAAATATTTAAATTGGTCTAATTTAGATAAAATGCTGCGACAATTCCAATGACAAATGTGAAATTCATTAATACCAACCTCACTGTCCATAAAATTAGGAATTAAAATTGGAAATAAGAGTTTCTTTTATGAGTTTTGATGAGATAGTGTTACCTGAATGAGCATCTTTCTTATTTACAGCAATGTCTACAAGTGTTTTTGTTAATACATTTAGCACATCATCTGAGTTAAGAATATCTGTAAATAACAATCTTTTCTGTGGTGCATTAAGTAGCTTCAAGTGATGTTTTGGTGTAGAAGTATCAGATCTTGGGATATCTGAAGTTACTGTCTGAACTTTAGAGGTGACTGTAGCATAAGTTTGTTTGCCACTAATTCGATCTTTCAGTTCTTGATTTTTGGCTGATTTAATAGGGCAAGTGTTGCTGATAGCCATGTGAGTACCATTGCAATTGATGCATTTAAGTTTGTCTTTATTGGTGCATTCTTTAAAGAAGTGATTCCCAGAACATATAGAGCATACTTGAGAGCTTCTGCAGGATCCACGGCTGTGTCCAAATTTGTAACAGACAAAACACTGGCGCACAGGTTTGATATATTCCTTTACATCAAACCACATAAAATCATAAGTCACATGATCAGGACGAGTTGAGCTCAGAAATGTAACAAGCACTGTTGGTGTAGGGGAGAATGATCCATCCTGATTCTTCCTCATGAAGCGTTTCACACCTATTACTTCATAATTCGATTTTATATTTGTTAATAAATCTTCCTCTTTAATTTCTTGTGGTACTTTTATTATTCCTAGACTTTCCAGACGATCATAGGGAATTTTTGCTTGCCAATCATGTTTTTCTAATAAAGATTTATCTAAAAGAAATGCATTTGCATCTTTTTTTGTGGAAAAATAAGCTTTGAAAAGGAAATTGCCAATGCGTTTTACATACATCAGACCAGTACAAGATTTTAATATGTTATTTATCTTCATTAAATCAAGTTTTGTGTTGGGAGAGGATGAAGATATTAATAATGGATATTCTTTTTTGCAATCTTCTGTGTACATATGGACATAGTCTTTGAAAACGCCTCTTTTATTTGTGATAAAATTTGCCGCCATCTTAATCGGTGGTGGACAGTCTTCTCCGCCTACTAATTTTCTTTTGGATGCAGGCCTGCCGCCACTCTCTTCGTTCATTATTATGAAATCGTATATTAATCAGTTTACATATACGTAAAGATAGGAATAAAAATTTATTGAGCTAAAAAGGGCTTGTGAAGGAATAGTTTTAAATTTTATTTCAAATATCCCGCCTAACACTTTGAATGTTCGCGCCCTTTCTCTTTATGTAAACCATATGTGACGACACACAAAAACAACATTGAAATTGAAGTTTAACAGCAATGACATTGACAATTGTTGCTGTTTTAAGTAAAAAAAGCAAAGGGTTGACGGTTACAATCATTCAGCCAAATCTTAGCAAAAATATTTAGACTGATTTTCATTCAACCATTCTGCATTTAATGTTAAACATTAAACTATTTCACATTCCCATGCTAAATTCATAGCACTTCACAAAAATTACCTGATTTCCTTTTAAACTACGTATTATTATCAAAACCGGCGGAATGTCTAATATGACCAATGAACTTTTAATCAGACTGATTATTTCACATATAACCTATAATAGACTAGGTGTATACTATAAAAAAAAATCGATAACGAAGTTGATTTAATTATATAAAATGAAAAATCATAAAAAATCCTCTATGCGAAAAAACCATGATATACGCTCTTTTTACCCGCTTTGCATTTCCCAGCATTTCTTCTACTTCCACTTCAAGGTACAATGGAACTCTGGACCATTAGTCATCATCACCATTATTAATTATAGCTTATGGGGTCTCCGTTTTATACATATAAGTAAATAAAACATTTATTTATACAAAAACATATTTAATAGTAGGTATTCAGCCAACTAATGCGTCTCCGTCTTCACATGTGAACAATGTATGTAGTTTAGTCGCGAACTCAGGACCGAGTCTTCTGGCGCGCGCTCCCGGCACTCCCGCGCGGGACACGCCCAACGACGATAACTTGTTCACACCATCCGCTTGTAGTAGCGACTACACATACAAAATGTGTGCACCAAAAATCAACAAACGCGCACAGAAATTCAATAAATATATAATAATAATAAATATGCACCAAATAATTCTTAAATTTCACTTAATATTAAACTTAATAATAAAATAGTAAAATCTTTACGATAAAAAACCGGCCAAGTCTGCTAATGCTTTTCTAAAGTCTACGAAAAATCCAAGATCCACTTTCCTTTGATCAATATAAATTAAAATAAAATTAAAATATTGTGACAAAATTAATTTTTAAGAAAGAATATTTATAATTAAAGTTATATTGCTGACGCTACAAAAAATTAATTGAAGTCGACTAGCTATCCAGTCTATTATAGAGTACCTACTCTCTCAAATATTTTTAACATCATTGATAGTAAAAAAAATATGAATATAGTTCTATGAATGCATGGATGGATGTTGAGTATATTTGAAGTGAGCATTTATTGTTTATTTCAAGTACGGAATTCCGATTCACATATTTAAAAAAAAGCAGTTTAAAATCAATTTACCTCGTGCAATGCTCTCGGTGAATCATATTCGGCGCGGATCGCACGCGACACTTCCAGACTAGAGTGAGGCAACACTGACAACATCTGCTGCCACAGACTACTCACATTTCTACCTGATAATGGCAACACACAAAAGCACGTTAGAAAAGTACCCTTGCCAGAGTCCGATAGAGAAGGGCGCTGTAAAGAGTCACACCAATGATTTTTGTTATCAGCATATCGCAAAATTAAGTAAGAAAACCATCCAGAATATTTTTTAGTATATCATTGTAAATCAAAATCGATAAAATATAATAACCATTCAGTTTATTTGACATTAAGAATGAAATGAACTTGTTGTAAATCTCTAACCAAAAAAAAATCTACATTAAAAATGAAATTGAGAAAAAGTTTGTCACTCCTGCTTGTTTAACATAAAATAATTTAAGAGGCCTTTATTCTCATTTAATGTTTTTGGAGGTTTGTGTTGAACTTTCACAACTTGGAAAATGTTTGTAACCCCTGCCGCCATTTAAATATCGACAATAAACAAACAGTACTCATTTAGCAAGACTTGATTGAAATACCTAGTCACATAAATGAGTAGATAGACATTACTTATTTATTCAGTTTTACTCCTCGCATTTCAGCTGCTCACCATTCACCATTCTTTGACATAATCACCATTCTTAGACAAATATCGCGCAACCATAAAAAATACTACTTTTAGTAGGTTATCCGACTGTCCTCTTACAAAACTCTTTTCTATCACGATGTTAATTCAGTAAGAATATTATCCAAATTAATTTATAACACAGACGCAATAACAAACATTTAAAATATTTAATGTTACTTAACAAAATCAAATTTTATCCATTTAAACATAAACACTTCGATCACCCGCAGTCGAACCCGATTGTCGCGTCGCAACGTGACGTCATCGCATAGCGCGTTAAGAAACGCAAATTTAAAAAAGCTGTTTAAAGAGAATGCCCTTTTTTGTATGGGGATTTGTTAGTTTTGTAGGCAAATTGTTAATTAATTATTTTCACTTTTAAATGGGGTCATTAATGTGGCTTAAAAATCAGTAGTAAATAAAACATTTCTTTTTTTTTGTAATACCAGCGACGCAATATGATACAGAAAAAGACAATCTCCTTTACAACACTATTTCGGTTATCCTGTCCCGATTTCGATGAAACGAAAACTATAATTATTTGCACGATGCGTATTAAATGCAATAACTTTTATAGTAATGTTTTGGTGTGCCGGTGTGACTTTTAGAATACAATTCAATAAACAGCCCACAGACTCACCATCTTGATCTACCGCAATACAATTCTTGTTGTCTCCCCTCATGAAAAAGTCGGCCTGTTCGTCTATATCCCTTTTGGCTAGCCTAGAAAAAAAACTAAATCAATATCGGAATCATAATTGTCTTCAAATTTTAGTAAAACGGAGAATATTTTTCCCTCACCACACTTTAAAATTATAACATAACACTGATATCATAATACAATACTAGTACTATATGCATTTAATTTCATAGCAGAGGCAGACTTTAATTAAATTAGCTATAAAGAACGTTCGTTCTACGAATTTATAATTACTTGCCTTTTATATATAAAAATAATAAAAAACAGGTATTTTAATCTCGTTCCAATTATCTTTTATAAAAATCATTTACTAAGTTGAATGTGGAAGCGACAACAAAATAACTCACTTGAAAGGTGCTTCTGCTATAGCCTTTGTAACTTGTACTATATGTAGAGCCAGTTCATTGGGAGTCTCTACGAACCACGCATCACAACCAGCCGTCACCAACATATCTATATGCGACATTAAAATATAATGTACTTTCAACAACACGTCAAGCTAATAAAACTGACAAATTTCTCCACTTGATTTTGAACCTTAATGGTTTGTGGGTAGTGTTCAAAATCAATTGTGGAAATTAAACATATTATGGTAGCCTGACGTGCTGCTATGTATACCAGAAAATACGACTGAAATTAAAAATACTCTCACGGATTCGAATAGGATGATTATTAAAACCTAAACAAACTAATGAAAAGAATTACTTGTATATTCTTCAATACACAAGAAGACTAATATGCCCGTTTTCACTAAACTTAGGAGTTGCTAAAATCTGACAACTAAATATTTGGGCAATGTCTCACGTAAAATGCGTCTCACCAATGAGAAGGAGCCACCTAATGACATTAAGCGCTTAAAGTTAGGACATGCATTGTGCGGCGCCTTACGCTGGGCATTTGCGTAATGTGACGAATTCATTTACTCTTTGGCCGTAATTGATAGATAAACATCTATTACAATTAATATATAAACAATGAGATTTTTTGAATTTTCGGACTTTTTATATATGAACAATGACGATTTAGGTGGTCGTGTAAAAACAAGACCACATATATTTTTTCTTGTTTTATTGCCTCAAAGTATATATTTTTGTTATTGTCTCTTTACATGTAAAGGCGACTAACGTGACGTTGGCGGAATTGTGCAAACGCAAATAGACCATACATTAAAAAAAAGACGAACTAAAGCGTGCAAAATCATAGACAAACGTTACCTGTTTAAGCAAGTACTTACTAAGGCTACAGGTAGAGTTACAGGTTTAGTGAAACGACAAATCTGCTTATGCTATTCTTAATATTAAGCTATATCTAGTTAAGCTATACCTTGTCCTAGGTTAGTGAAAACGGGCATAAAATATTCTTTTATCCGTGAGGCATATTTTCTAAAAGTATTAAACACATGTTATTTTTTATCTTTTACGTAAATCGTCGATAAATTGAGTTGAACCGTCTCATATCGTCATGATTTTCTAAACAGTTGTAACCTCCTCAACTTGAATGCCTATCCATTTTCTGTTGACTTGAAGCAAAAAAAATATCGCAGGTTGAGAACGACAGTGACACAATGCAAAAAATGCGATTTTGAGTAATGAGCGTTTAAAGTTCAAGAAATTGTAATCAGCCCCTCTAAACAACGTATCGTCACTACGCCACCTAGCAAGCTACGTTCACAGGGATCTTTGCATTTTAAAGTTTATACTTAACAAAGAAAAATGTTGTCAAAAGTAAGAAATATGTTGTTTTTGGTTAGTGACACTGTCATTCTCAACCTGCGATATATATTTTTCAATTATATGACTAAATACAATTCCTTTTTTATTATCGAGGCATCAACCCTATCCCAATAATAGAATTTTGAGAGAAATTTACTAAATAAAAAGTTTTACACAAGTATAAAAGAGTGCAAGCTGTTGCTTCTAAAGATACTTAGTTACTATCGTGGCTGAGCCCGGGAAATCTGTCTATTCTAGAAATGTATATTTTCAATTATAAAGTCAAATATTATCTATAAATAAACCTCAAAAATAAATATTACTTCAGAAAACTATTTTAAATATTTCTTTGATTGTTCTGTAAACTTTTCATAATGCAGTTACGATATTATACGCTATAGGAGGTATCGATATGTGGGGTTTAGTGGGTATGACATCTACCTTTTTGACTACCCTTCGGGCGGGTCTGTGTGGATGGAGAGTCCCACACATGCCCTGTCGCCTGTCAAACGGCAGGGAAAGTGCATAAACTCTTTTCCTCCCTCTACGACAAGATAAGGTAAGTAAAGTTATCTATCTATATAGGCATTCAAAATTGTTAATGATGCCGAATTATTTTTACTTTATTTTTGAAGTAAAATATATAATAAATAACCTGTTACAGCCATTTCCAAATCAATGGGCGTCATCAACTGTCGATTGCTGTTTGCGGTATTACGTTGAGATTTTCTGGAGAAAAAAGAAAGCTTTATTTAATGTACTGTTTTATTAATTAGTCAGCTAAATAAGAAATGCTTTTAGTGCACAATTTTTTCCTATAATTATTTCCGTGTACACTCACTTGAAGTACTGTTTAACTCCGAGTACAACACAGGTAACTTGGCATGTGGTGAGGTCGCGCATGTTATCGAGCCGCTCGGCGAGCGTGTGCGCGTGCACATGTTCGGCTGCTGCTGCCGCCTCGAGCACGTAGAGCGCGCGCGAACACGGCTCGCGAGACGGACTAACACTTACCTGTAACCGTACTTATAAATATCACTTTTCTCGAATCAATAGTGAGATAGTCGAAGTGAACGTGAAGAAATTAGTGAGTTATAGGTTTAAAGATAGGGATTGTTGTTGAATATATGAATATGTTTGAGGTTCGTTGGCAAAATGCAAAATACGCGATCTTATGTTTTCTTGGATTATCGTTATTTGGCAGAATTTGTTTTTTGGCAAAAAGTATTTTACAACTTTCATATGATAATATTGAACCACTTTCAGATTTATTTCTCTCAAAAAATATATAAAATAAAGTAAAAAGTCACTTGACACTGCGCCGTGGCGTCACATTTCAATAAATATTAGAAGTAATTGTCTAAAAAAAAATCTTTAGATATACTTTATATACATTTAAAACCCAATAACGCTCATAATTATTATTCTAGAAATAACATAATCACTCGTTACGGTGGAAATAATACTAAGAATACTTACTCGATTACAGAAGCAATCATTTATAACTATTTCATAAAATGGTTTTATTTTAACTATTCCAAAATTTGCAAATTTCACTAAGGCGACTATTACACGATGTAAAAATAAATTCCTCCATTATTGGGTTACCGATTTTTTTATACGTGGATTTACTCAGAACTCTACATACAACAAAAAAATTTAACAGCTATCAATAAATATTTCAAACTTAAAATGAAACGGCAAGTTTATCCAACTTTTCTGACATATGATGCACAGCTTAATACATGACGAGCTCAGGAATTCAACGATACCACGTAGGAATTGATACTTTTACTCGATACCTGCTTGTATCGAATAGTTTTATATGCCTCACCATCGTCGTCATTTTTATAGTTTTTTCAGAGTAGATTTAATACTATTGATAATAATAGCAATATAATGAAGAAAGAGAAGTAGGTCTAGACAAAAAAAGCGATGCATATAGAATGTATTTAGTTGGGTATTGCTTCAAAATTTTGTTGGCAGTGCCCACTCTAGATAGATCTCTAACTGCATGAAATTAGTAGGGGTTAGTACTGATTAGTCGTGTAGGGACAGAGCCGCTGCACCTGTGGGACTTTTTTATAAGATGGACTTTACACACCGTAACACAGAATAAATAGACCAAGCACTTACTTTCTTACTTCACGATACTATTTAATACTCGATTCTAAAGTATCGATGCCATAAGTACTTGGTATTGATAGAAATTATCAAGTACTTGTATTTACTTGCTTTGATTCATCCCTAGATGAGCTGACATAAAAAAAACGCACTTGGTGCGTTTTGTTAGTACGATGGTTTTGTTTGTCTTTTTTTTTGTTGAAATAAACGTCATGTTTGTCAAAAGTTTGAAATGGTTTAATAAATCTATTATTTTATTTACATGAATAAAATATTTTATTCTTTAGTCGAAATAGGAGAATTAATTAGAATAATACGAAATTGTGGGCGTCTCTCGGTTGATATGATGATGATACGAAATTGTAAAGATTATTTCACAACTTAACAACAACAAAACGAAATGAATTATCTGTGAAATTCTGTATCATTCAAATAATCGTTCGTCGTTCGTTCGTTCCTAAAGCAATTGTGACTTTAAAAGTTACACAATTCCATTAATCACTATCACAATCGCTTTACGCATGAAAATTATTATAATAGATTGAAAAATTAGACAATCAGGCCACTGGTTGCCTTCTCATTTTACATTGACAATTAGTTACTGTAATGTGACATCATTCGATGCTGCGTCATGGCCGCCCGCGTTTCAGTTAATTTTGTAAAAACAAAATAAAAATTAATCGTTATTGTTTACATATAAGTTAACATTTCCAACATAATTCATAATTTATTTATTTTATATATATTTTTATATATAGGTCTGCAGGGGTGACTGCCACAATACCTCGTATACGCATATCTTTTCGTCAAAAAATAAAATTCCTTACCCACCTGTCCATCGTGGTCGCGGACAAGCGTAGGAGTGGTGGCGCGGGACCACATGACGAGTCCCGGGTCGCATATATCCGGTGTCGACACCACGCGGCACCCCGCACTCGCCGCCTCGCGACCCACGTCCGACATGTACCACGCGCTCGACAGACTCGGGTGCATCTCTATGCACATGTACTGACCATCCACTCATATTTCAGTAAAAAGTCTTTATTCAAATGGGCAGAATAGGCAAAACTCCAAATAGGAGTATTGTATAAGCTATTTAGGGTATGTTCCGATACACACTGCGAGCACTGCGCAGTGGTCTTACTGCTGAAAAATCCGTTCCGTTATGGACTGCCAGTACACTGCTACAGTACCCTAGGGAAATTTATGACGTCATAAATTGCCGCCATATTTGTACTGTGAGCACTGGAGATTTCGAGGTAAGGTGCTCGCAGTGCTTTTGATCACGTGATCAGTCGAAACAGAATCAGAAAATGATAAGTTTCTAAATAAACAACAAAAAAAATACTTACGTTTATTTATAAGATGGATTTAATTGATAAATAATTTTTTTATACAATTTTCCAATTTTCTTTTGAAAAGAGGGAATCTTTATATTTATATTCACATTGCATTAACAAATTTGAAAATGGCGCCAAAAAATAGGATTAACAGTATACTGGACTGCGTTCCGTTTTAAAAAGTCACCAGTATAACTAGCTGTAAAGGAACGGGCTTCCAGTATACTAAATTGACGTCATACTGTTCAGTGGTCGCAGTGTATATCGGAACATACCCTTAATGTTAACCAGCTGACTTCAATAGAAAATTCTTGAATTATTTTTTACTAAAAACAGTTGTTACTAGTATTGATAGCTTTTTTCAAAGCATTTAACCAATATTTTTGTTATATTGCCTTAAAATAACATCAAAAAGTTAAGTTTTTTATACCTACCTATAAATCCATCATATTCATGATGTCTTTGTTAATATACAAAAATCTTAACTTTATGCACAAAACATATGCATAGTAGAAGTTTAAAAGATATCAATAAAAACCAGAGCAATGCCATCTAACGATTGATTATGAAATAAAAATATATCAAAATATTGATTTATAAATAGTATGTATGACTAATCTGGCAGTTGTCTCCACATTAACATCACACAATGTTGGGACGTGTTTCAAGTCACGTGACATACAGACAAAATAAACAATTTTTAGGTAATAAGATAATGGTGCTATTTTATGACTCAAGATCAGAATCTCTGTTTAATATGATGTAAATTTTAGTTTTTGTGCAATTTTGTGACTTATTTTTCACTACCGAAACTACTCTATTCTGATCAATATGTTAATGTGTACTTGCATTTTTGAAATTATTACACAACAATATATTAAAGTAAAATAAATATCCATAGTAGACATGCTATGTTTTATGACAAAGGTAAAGAGTAATATTAGCCTGGCCATCATTCAATTATTTATTTCATATTCTTTAGCCAAAAATAATTAAATAATAAATAGGTACTAAATAATAAATTTCACAAAATAAAAGTAATAAATGCTTAGTAAATATACCTTCATACATTCTCCTGGCTTGTATATTTTATTAGCTTCAACAATTGCAAGCTTAGCTGCTTTTTCCTCAGCCTGTCTTCTTTTCTTTGCCTGTCTCTCAGTTGCAGTATTAGACTTTTTGCTTATAGCTATTTCCAGACTACCTACAAAAAAGTGAAAATTATTTTTTCTCAGAAATTGCAATATCAAACTAAATACCAAAAGAGACTATACTTTTTATTTATATTAAATTGGGTAAAAAAATATAATCTTGAAGTATTGCCATAAAGACAATTCACATTTACTACTATGAAACTGATATTTTAAAATGCTTTTTGACATTTCAAAGCATATTAATGTATGTTAACACCAATAAGTACTTGCCTGCTGCAATCTTAGTTAAATTTATTAATAGAATAGAACATCACTCAATAGTGATATTACTTACTAGATAAGACCTTAATTACACACAGCATATAAGTAATAAACCTTAAGATTAATTGTAAATTTAAGATTAATGGCTTTACATACCCACACATTTTTTGCCAGCACTTTTTCTGGTATTACGATTTCCCAAATTCTGTGGCAATATGTAATCATTGGATGCCGAGTAATAAGACTCAGTGCAAGAAGTACCACAGCTTCCAGAAACAGTAACTACAAACTATAGTATGCTCAAAAACATTTAAGATGTGAACAAAATTTTTTTTTTTAACTTTAGAATCATAAACTATAATCAATATTTTAATAAAATTTAAATTGTTTATAAAAAAAATACTGACTTAATTAAATGCCTTTCTAACAAAAATTTAGTCATAAAAATATTATTCTTAAAGATTCACAAGATTTTTTAAGAATGGAATATCTATGACTACTAGTGAGCCATCACAAAATCTATACATATTAACAAGTGTTCAAGATCTACCACATCGCCAGGGCCAAAGCACAAAGAGAAGTTTAACAAACAGGTGGCAGGATATAATGAGTAATGCATCTTCTCTATGTTCAAAAATTGTGATGTTGACTTCAATCAATATTAACTTGAATGTTCCATAAACATAATAAATATGCTCAGTTAATATTATAAAGAAGGTTGAAATTAATTGTAACATCATCATATAAATGGTAATAACGATTATACGATTATCATTGTTATGCGACACATTATTGGACGAAAATCTTAATGTACTACCTTGTGGTAATTCTAAAATATCTTGATTATCGTCGTCAGTTTGAGTTAAATCCATGAAGTCACTATACGTAGACATTACGACTGAATAAATAGTAAAACTTCGGTAAAACTTTTAGACAATTTGATTTTCTAGTATCAATAATATTAAAAAACAATTTTTTTGTTATTTCTCAATTTCGTAGTAATATCAACGCCTCTTATAATACTTTGATTAAAAGCACTATTGATTATACTACAAACTATAATTCATGCCGATTTAGTTTAATAACATATTAATAACATAAAAAACCGGCAACCACCCGGCAGGCAACAAAACATCAACAGATAATTTTTTTTTGTTTTTTTTTTAACAGCTTTGAAAACATCCATACAGCCACATCTTTAGTACATTGTTCTTTATAAAGGTAAAATATCATTTTATATTCTACACAGCATCAAATATCATATAAAAAAATCATACCACAGACTTAGTAGGTAGGTATGGATGGATCGTACGTTGCATACGTCAGTAAACGGCAGCTAGAGATGTCGATGATGACCGATGTTTAAAGCAACTATTACCTACTATAGATTTGGCGGCGAGTCAGAATAGATCTTCAAGGTCGCAGTGACTTCAGTTCCTCAGGGAACTGCATAGCCCCTTACAGCAATAAATAATAACAAATAAGTTAGTTTTATTGCTATTAGTTGTTTGTTGAACTTTCAATAAGAAAACTACATCAAGTCTCAATAATATTTTATATTATGTGTGGTGAATGAATGAATAGGGTTTATTAATCAGCAACAAAAGTCATAAAAACGATAATTATAATAAAAAAACCGTTTATCTATATACTTACCCGATATGTATCAAATATACTAGGTATTCGTACAAAATAACATGACTTCTGGCTAAAATTTGTGCTTTCGAAATTAAGACTTTAAAAAACTACGATCAGTAATTATTAAATACAAAAAACGTATGTTCTAAACGAACAGCAGGGTTATAATGTTTCAAAATCACAAAGACGCGTACAGTTATTATACTATTGCTACTGATCTTGCAAGTCGACGGCGGACATCGAGCCATGTGTTAAGTTAATTTCTATGTTGGGTATGTACTTTTTGTTTCTTATAATAATATTGTTAATAATAGATTGACTTCCTACACAACCTACTCTAGAAATCAGTTTTATTGAAATATATTATTTACTAAGTACCTAGAGTAGTCATGCTCTTTTAAAATCTCTGCGGTGGTGTCATGTGCTTTAGGTCGTTACGTTCCCTCAAATGTAGCATAGTTGACTTGTATAGTTGAAATTAAAAAAGTAGCTGTTGCTGAACAGTACAAGATCTCCTGCCTTAGTTTTAAGAACCATTGGCAAAGTTTTCGACTTTCACAAGTACTATGTAACAGCCTAGACTGAATTGATTTTGATATTTATATTAATATCATTCCTTTTGTGGATGCATAATGACCAGTGGTCGGAATTAGGTAGAGTTATTCATGTACTTACATTGATTTCATACAGCGAAAGACTAAAGTGGATATGCCTCAAATCCCGAGATTAATTTTAAAGAGCAGAAAAAATCCCGTGATTTTTTAAATAAAAAGTTATTTACTTTTACACAATTTAAACTACTGTACGCACGACGTTGCCAAACTTACATCAATGACATCGGATGTCCAAAAATGTCCAAGATGGTCCATTAGAAATCCCGGGAAGGTCCACATTAATATCAACATTTCGATGCAAGTACATAAATAACTCTACCTAATTCCGACCTCTGATAATGACACATACAAACAAGCTGACTTCTGCGCTCCGCTTTTTGTTCTTCATTCCAAACCTGAATTCGGATGAAAGTTACGAGCAACCAATTAGTTGGCCCATCACTAATGTTGACGTATCAACCAAACATCGTTCCTTTACACGTAATATAATAAACAACTTAAACTTACGATTAAAATAAATTAAAATTAATTTGAAAGTTAGATATTATAAGAAACACAAAACGATGTCATATTTATTATTTTTCGATACTCAATTTACTTTCATTACGTTAGAACCAAAATTTAAATGAATATCGTAAACAAAATCCAAACATCGCGAGTGACATCTTGTATGATTTCAAGAACTAATTTTTATTTTTTAAATACAACCTCATTGACCCGAATAATTTGAATTCAGGTTTGGAATGAAGAACAAAAAGCGGAGCGCAGAATTCAGCTTGTTTTTTTCATGTGCAGTATTTCCATATGTGTCATTAATCATTATGTATCCACATGTCGAATGATATTGATTTAAATATAAAAAACAATTCAGTCTAGACTGTATATGTACTTGTGAAAGTCGAAAAGTATGCCATTGGTTCGCAAAACTGAGAAGAACCGACAAGGGTTGCTTTTTTCTCCCTTATTTATTTAACATAGAGAAGTCTTATTGGAATATGATTTAATTAAACTATGAAGTCACTTTCCATTACAATATCAGAAATCCTACATACTCATTGACAAATCAATATACAATATTCTTAATAAAAGTAATGGACGATATTTAGGAGTCCAGCGCAGACTCACCCCCAGTAGCAGCATCCATTGACGAGCTTGACGCATAAGCCAGCCACCGTATAGCTCAACTATATTTGAGGGAACGTAACAACCCGACGTAGACGACATCACCGCAGAGATTTTTATATATTTTCAATAAAACTGATTTCTAGAGTAGGTTAACCTACTTAGATTGACTTCCTACTCAAGTGACAATATTATTAGAAGAACCAAAAAAGCACATACCCACCATATGAATTAACAACATAACAACTGTCTCGACTTCCGCCATCGACATGTAAGTTCAGTAGCGATAGTATAATAACTGTACGTGTCTTTGTAATTTTGATATTTATAGTTATAACCTTGCTGTCCGTTTCGAACGGATGTTTCTTGTTGTTCATAATTTTTTATTCTTAATTTCGAAAGGACAACTTATTTGCGCGTTATACTTTGCACAAATGTCATTCTAGCCAGAAGTCATGTTATTTTGTACGAAAACCTAGTATATTTGATACATATCGGATAACTATATAGATATTAAACGGTTTTTTATTATAATTTTCGTTTTATGACCTTTGTTGCTGATTAATAAACCCTATTAATTCATTCACCACACATAATATAAAAATATTATTGAGACTAGATGTAGTTTTATTAATGTAAGTTCAATAAACAACTAATAGCAACAAAACTAACTTACCCAGTTCTTATTGTTTTCAGAACTTTTGATAAATATTATAATAAAAATTTCCTAGACCGACTATAGCATAAGTATTTTATTTTTAAAAACTATTTCACGGTAATATTATTGTATACCGTAGCTAAATGCCACTCAATAAATTCAAAGCAGTAATTCTATTGATTTCTATAACTTAAAAAAATCTTTCCCTACGCTCACTTCCATAATGTTAGTTTCCATTTTCCTTTATACAAATAAAAAAGAAATTCATTCAAATATTACTTTGTATTAATCGAGTTGCGTTTGAGTAACTCGATCTAATAAATTAGAGTTATCAGCACAACAACACTGACAATTCTATTCTCTTTGGTTTAACGTCATGAAGTGACATTTAGATCCGAAAATTTGTGCTGCCATCTATTGACATAAATATTGGTAGTTTCTTTATTTTCTTTAATACTTCCGCACTGAAAATGATCATATACAAAAAATGACAATGTTTGATGAACTTTTGTTTTTGTACTTCTTTATAAAAATAACTTTACCTTCAGCCGATTGATAAAAAAATGTTGGAATATGTAATCATTTGCTGTTTTTTTTAATTCTTAGAAAAATGTTTCAATATTTACGAGTTGCAGATATTAAAGAATTTGCACGAAATGACGTTCTGAATGTTAATAAGTGTGTTCAAATACTATGTTTTGCATTTTATGCACGCACTAGATTACTTTTCATAGGATTTCATTTAACATTTTTAGATTTAACTAACTGAAATAAATTAACACTCGCTTTTCTTTTTAACACAAAAATTCCTAACGTATTTTTGCAGAGCAATTAATTAATGTCACGAGATTTTAGTATGAAGTGCTAACATTTTGACTATAAAACCATTAATTAAACAAATATATTTTTAAGGTACAAAAAATGTAATCCTCTCTCGCCTTCTGATAATACTATTCTATGGATAAAACGTGAAAGAGGGACGCTTTTACGATACTAATATAAATATCGATTAACCATAAACAGCTCCTTAAATTGTTGATCGGGGGCTTTAAATCACCATAAGTAGCTTTGAATAGCTCATTGAACCCTGATTTAAGGCTCTGTTCACTTCACAAAATGCACTGGCTATTTATTCTATCAATATATTTTCTTACTTTATTTGGTCAGCGGTATAATAAGCGCAGTGTATTCGAGTGATATTTTTTTTCATAGTTAGGATAAATGTCAACATTTCTAGTCTACTTTTTAAAAGGGGTGTTAGTTTCGAACTGGTTTCGAAAAAAGTGATCACGCGGGGGAGGAGAAATCTTATTGCGCCCTACAATGAGATAGACAAGAACAAGGCCTCACTCAGTCAATGAGGAATTATTTAAAAAAATATTAGTTCCCGAAATCAAACTTGATGTCGCTACGGTACTTTCTTGATTTCTCCATGACAACCCATCTGGTTTTCTTTTATGTATAAAAGTAAATTAGTTTTCAGAACTCAATAAACAGATCATATTCTAGTTGTACTTTTCGTATTTGTATTGATATCTAAGTTGTGAACTACGCAAATTTCAGTTTTCTTATAGGGTAGTTAAAAGGAACGGAAATGACTATTTTCGGTCCATTCGTTTCCTGCAAAAAACAACTTTTGCTAGAGTCGCCATCTAGTGGAGTCGCTTTTTAGTGCTTTCTTTTTTTAAATACTTCCTCATTCTGCTAATTTTTACGCAATTATCGGATTTCAATGGAGTCTCAACTACTTGTATTTTGCCAGTGTATTATCTACCCTAAAATCAATGAATTAGCGCAATGTCTTTCTCACAAGTCAATGGTGACAGATATAATTTATTTTTTGTGAACTGTGTCATAATGGGTTATAGGTAGTTGATGCGTTACTGGTTTTTCATAATTAGGGCCAGCCATTTTAAAAGTGACTAAGAAGTGAACTTTAACACATCATAACTGTTAACGCTATACGTTTTGCTATAAAGCTATACAATTAAAAAAAAAAAAATATATTTGTGTATGATATTATCAAAACGCTTTAAAGCTCCAAGTGGCCTAAAAAGGGTGCAGTGGCCAAAACCGGCCTTCTGTCCTACGCTTACATAACATCAATAGAATTTCTGTACAGTAATTACACGGCAAAAATTAAATGTTTGTTCCATAAACTGCAAAGTGATTCATAAGTACATGTTTTGATCCATGTTGTAGTTCTGTTGATTATCTGTAAATACGTATCTATGTAGATAAGAAAATTCAACTTAGTGAATGTCTTTTTATTATGTAAGATCAATTTCACGTTCATATTGCTATACATTGCATTGTTTTTTATTATTTTTTCTGTTCTTTTTCATGTCTTTTTTATTTTTATTTTTTTCAATTGTACATTCTGTATGTGATGTGTGTTGTCAAAATAAATGAATTCTAGTATATTCTATTCTATTCTATGAAATGTTGAATGAAAAATACTAATAATTTTTGGTATTAATTCTATAATCATATTTAAAAAAGGAAAGATTTGATCGCTTGTTTGTTTGCATTCACAATTCAAGAAGAAATCCATAAACATACCTACTTTCATTAAAAATGAATATACTCCTTGAACATAGCAATCCTCCTTTCGGATTTTGAATAAAATCAAAATACTTACACAATGTTTTGTTTTCTAGCTGAAATAAACATATCATCTAAATATTTAGGTTATATCTGTTGAAAAGCGTATTTTGTTTAGTAATAAAAGAAAAACTAGTGATTCGATTTCTATAAAATTTCATCGGTCCATGAAGCTCCCAATTAAAAAATTATTTTAAATATCAACCTTTAGTGGAAACATACATCGCCATCAAACATATAAGTAACCGCCTCCTATGCGATTTTGAATTCTGATAAAAACAAAAGATATTTTGCATTTATTCAATGGTAACGGAGGAATTAGAAATTCCTTCTTTACCACAATAATCCAATACAACGGGTATGTATATTTTTATGTAGGGAAGAAGGCTTCATATATAAAAAAAAATTATGTATATTCACTGATTTCGTAAAATTACATAGCATGACTTCGCCCGCGTAAATTATAGACTTCGCTAGTAATTACAGCGTATGATTCAGTAGTTTCGGAACTTATTATTATAACAAACAATCAAATATTTCCAAATCTAAAATATTTTTACAATAGTTTTATCTAAGTAAAAAAAAATATATCAATATCACTAAATCCTAAGAAATATTTTATAAGGAAGTATTAGGTCCTTACATATGAAATTGGTGTTTGGTATAGGAGGAACAAAAAGCCGAATATTTTTTAATACGAGTATAATATATAATTTATTTAATCAAAGTATAAACCATTGGTATCTTGTATTTTTGCCATCTCATAGGTAGTTCATTGATCCCCCTACTAAAAAAACCATTCGGACGGGAATCAATCTTTGAAGGCGATTTGCACTGCCCCATCGGAGTTGAATTTTTTCCCTTGCAACAAGCCATCCAAATTTCGAAAAAAATCGAAATCTTTTGGAGCAAGGTCCGGGGAGTACGGTGGATGTCTTAGACATTCCAATTGAAGCTGTTCTAATTTGGTAGCCGCTAATACCATATACTATAGCTAATATTATTAGTAATAGTATTATATCCCACTTCTATTTATTGAAAGAAATGTAATACGCGTCCTTAAAAGGGCAAGTATAGGTAGTGTAGCTTTTACTTTCGAATCACTAAAACTAGAAATTAAATGTAATATCTATTAGCATAATTGTATATCATAAGGTACGTTTTTTTCATCTTAAATTTCTTTTACAGTTATCGTACAAAACTCAAAAACAGAGTATCACAGTATTACCTTAAACTGTGCAACTTTTTGCCCTTGTCTCACCCTCTGATTTAATTCAAGCCTTTCGCAATCCTGCCGCGCTCGTGAGATATGAGAGGCGCGTGCACAGATTATTAAACAGACGGGTAATTTAATTTCGGAACGCGAAGGGTGATCTATATCTTTTTTTGTAACTACACTTTATTTTTGAAAATGAAATGTGGTATTTATATAATATTTATATTATGGAATACATACAAACATAGACTTTGAATGACTCCAAAAGTGAATTCTTTTCATTTTTACCATAGAAATACAAAGAAAAAGAGCATGGTAAAATTGTTTAGAATATTATTATTATAAAGCTTAATGCAATTCTTATAGTAAAACTAGCTTTTCGCCAGTGGTTTCACCTCCTGTATTGTACATATAAACCTCCCTCTTGAAACACTCTGTACATTAAAATCCGTTGTGTAGTTTAAAAGAACTCTGTATACAGAGGGCAGGAAGCGACTTTGTTTTATACTACGTATGGATTTCAGTGTAACAACTACGTTTGCATTCGCATTTAAAAACTCATTAGTGACGCCCTTGTTCAGCAATTATCTGCTTTAGAGGGTGATTCCTTACTTACATATTATGACTTTTAAAAGAGCCGTTAGAAATAACAAGTTAGCCGATGGAAAATCAAACAAGGCGTCAATTAAATAAAGCAAACATAACGCCAGGTATTTTTTTACGTCTCCTCTGTTTGTTAGGTGTGTTTGCTCTATGTCTGAGGGCTCCCTCATTTGCCCTCCTCCAGTCTGCCTTTGTTAGCCGGGGTGATCGCCCGCTACGACCGTGAAGCGGCCCGCGCACGCGTGCTTTTATAAATAAAACTTATATTCACTCCCACGTTTCAAAGCCGGCATCAAAATAACTTGACGTCCGGTTTCGTTATTATTTATTCATTGACATAAACTATAAATTGCTTTTCTAAATTTACTTCGAATTTATTGAACCTCATTTACCGACGTGATATTTGCGTCTTTTTTAATCAAAACAAAGCGTGCATCATCAACAACAGCCAATTTACCTTGTTGGTGTACTTTGAAAATTAATTGATGGCATTTAACTCAACGAATGTTTGAGAAAAATAAAAAATGGATTGGCGTGAAAAACTTTTTGGAAAAGTGCTTGTGAGATGCAACTCGCCGGGTACACAAAATGGACAATTCGAGAACGTGTCAACTTTGGAGGCTCTATCTGACTGTGTAGAAGAAGGCGAGGGTGCTGTGTGTGGTATATACTTCTCTTTCGCTAATATAAGCGACGAGAGTGATGATTTTGGAGTGCGATTAGAGGAACTGTATAAAAGAATCCATCCTCGCTTGAGAGTGGTGCAAGTGGTCTTGTGGGCTCACATGGGTACTCCTGAAGGTCCCGTAGAAAGAGAAGCCGGTTTCCGACGTAGTCTTACAGGCAAACCATGGTTTGCTGTGCCCTTTCATGATGTCGACACTAAGGTAAGTTGTCATAAAATCATCTTTTTGCGGTCTTTTCATTATTGGCAGATTAACTAAAATGGATTTTAATATTAAATCTAATAAAACTATGCATACATAGATATTAATTACCAAACGAAAGTTCGGGAACTTTAATTCCTTTATCAATTTAGCTAACAAGAAAATAAATAAAAAGCAAAGGCATCCTCCAAACGACTGCTAACATTTTTAAAACAAGGCGCACTCGTGAAATACGACCACTTGAATAAAACCTCGGGTGCTTGAAAACGTTATTTATCCTGTGGAATTGTAAGGAAATTATGCAACCCTGAAGAGTTTAGGGTGCGATTCAGACGAGTAGAATGAGTGGAAAGGAGAAACTCACTGTATATATAGGTACTTTCACAAGACAATGGAACGGAAAATGCGTTCACGGTACTGAATGGGCTTATCATAAAAAAAGAAACGAGAAACACCGAGATTGTTTTAAAGCTATAGTTGCAAGCTCGTAGATGATTGTATCTTTCCTGTGCGAGTGTAAATTATTAATTCGAAAACATAATTTAATTTTTTTTTATTAACATTACTTAAAGACATGTGAAACTGGCCGTAGATGTTGTTTAAAAAAGACACTATTAAAAGCTCAAAACTGAACGACAAAATTGCCGTAAATCAAATAAAAAAGTCCAATCAAGGAAGCCGCACATTTTTGTTTGTTGATCTAGATATTGTACAATCACTCACGACAGTATTCATGATTAAAATGCTATATGTACTTAGAAAAATGTAAACGTAAACTCTATTATTATATTCTGTTAAAAACAGCCTCCGACTCAACGTCGAGAGCAGCGCCGTGACGGCATAGAGCTTTAATGCAATAATTTATAACCTTTTGAAATAGGTTTTATTTGATTGAACTGTTATAGGTACTATGATAGTGCTCTAGGTTCGACGTAGAGGTCGATCCTATTTTTATAACCGAATGTTTAGTATTTAAACTTTTTTCGTCTGTTGCATAAACGTCCATTAAAATTGTCATTAGTCTAATGTCACATTACCAATACAATTTTTAAATTTAGAACATTAATTATAGCTTAAAGTCATCGTTAAACCTTAATGGACGTATGTGCAACTGACCGAAATGTTTAGACAGAAAAAAATATAACTAAGGTAAAGAAAACAATTTGTTTTTCAAAGTGTTGTGTTGAAAATGTTTTGTAACTTGCATATTCTACCCCTCGGTAATTACTCTGTGCCGTCATACCATGTTTCACTTCACCCTAAATTACTTTCGGAACCCCAACTGTGGAGTTGGGAGGGTTTTTAGTATATCTGTTACAGGTGCGTGCGCAATATTGACACATTAATATTGGAATTAGGTACCTACGATAAATGACCCATCGAGTTTCAGGTCAATAGTTTTGTTTGTTTACTATTTTAACTTGCCGAAAAATAAGCCATAAATAAATCTGAAACAATACCAAAGAGTTTGTAAAAAAGACACTAATTAATCAACTTAAAAACATTCTATTTTTTAAATATTTAACTCGCCCAAGAAGAAATCTGGCTTTCGCGATTTTAATCTTTATATTGATATAGACTCGGTTTAATTTGCCTAAACAAATATAATGTGAAGAAACATATATCTTCAGGCTGACCACAATTTAATATTTACAATGTAGGGAACCGAATGATGGTAGGTGTAAGAATATAACATTTGGCGCTTTTTAAATTTTACTAGTGAATACATTTTCTTGGTAGTATCCAGAATTGTATTTTGTCCTGTTGAATCTGAAGGACATTTAAGGAAGACAACTGGTGACCTTAAAACGTGCTAGGGAAAATACTGCAAGTCTCTGTGGGCGCAACAATAAGTTATTTCGTCGAATTAAAGGCGGGGTAAATGACAAAAACCTACTGTTTGAAAATTAAAATTCGATATCGGTGGCACACATTTGTAATAGCTTGATGTACGCTATTATACTAGCTATGTGTGTGTACATATTGTACACCAGAATGCGGGCTCGATCGCACATAGTATGGATCAGATTGCATCCTCATACAAAACTTGAACAATACTGGTTAACTACAGTGACCACATCTTATATATTTAATTTTTCATTCACAATACTATATTAATCTATTATATCTTCAATGAATATAGCTTGTCAAAATCAAAATATTGTTTATTGGTTAAACCTATTAACTCGGGGAGCTCGAAGGCGTAATGGTTAGCGCTTACGGGTTCCAATGCGAAAAGTGACCAAAATGTATTATTTCGAGCTACTCCTCGCTTCCAATTGAACGTTAATCCGTTAGTCCCGGCTGCAATTGCAGTCATTAACCCGCGTAGTAGGTGATGGCCTCGTTAGTGGGGCTGAACTAACCGGCAGGGTTCCGGGTCCTTCTCTCCCCAGAGGGTACTTGCATCGGGTCTTACCAAGTAGGCCAGCGTCGCTTAAGACGGGTGCGGGGTCGGAAAGCCATGGTAACTAATAAGGTGAACCTTAGTCAATTTATACGAAAATAAGTTTTTTTTTTTTTTGGAAAATATAAAGATCTAAATATCCATTTCGGTTTTGCAGGTTACTACGTGTTTGCTTTTCAGCGTCGATATGAAACTTCAAAAAAATTGTGAGAGGGTGTGTATAAGCTAAAAATCACTTTAAATTTGATTTTGTACCAAAAATACCGTCCAATTATGCCGTAATCAAAAATAAAAAACTAGTCGTCATATTCCAATGTGAATTTACAAATTTTTAAGTATTTTATTAATAAACAAAAAAAAAACAAAGTTACCACAAATTAAAAGAAAACCTAATCCAAGCAAACTTTTACAATCGCTCTGATATAAGTATATTAACTATTTAATGTGAATTAATAAAATAATTGTAAAAACGCAATATGATATTACGGTGACACAAAAATACCCAAAAAATGTATATTTCACAACTTATGTACACTTCTCCTGAATTTTCTATAAATGATGGCTACAATGGTGGCAACGTACATACATGCGTAATGCGTAATGCGTTTATGTACTTATATGGACGCCTCGCCGTCCAATTTTGCGTTTGATGAGGTCGTGCTGGACAAGTTTTGAATTTTCTTTTTAAAAACCCAAATAAATAAACATACCGTCAATTCTTTCGTGACAAAGTTAAAACAATTCCGTACTATTTGAAATATTCGGCATGAATGGGCCGGCTCGACCGGAGTGATACTACGGCCTCATAGAAAACCGACGTGAAGCAACGCTTGCGTTATGTTTCGTCGTGTGAGTGAGGGTACCGGAGGCCTAACCCCTCCCTATTCCCTTCCCTCTACCACTCAACCCTTCCCTCCCTATGATCATATTCGTCCCTCAAAAGCCGGCAGCGCGCTTGTAGCCCCTCTGGTGTTGCAGGTGTCCATGGGCGGCGGTAATCACTTACCATCAGGTGATCCGTCTGCTCGTCTGCCCCCTATTCCATAAAAAAAAAAATTTGAAACTAATAATGAATGAAATTCGGAAAATTTATTACTTAATTATTTATCGCCGTCTAATAGGTTTTACTATTTGTTTTAATTTTGCTGCTAAAAATTGAGAATTAAATGGCCTAAAAATTTTAAATAAAATAAAATACGTTTTCTATCCTAGTAGTCCTATATTTCAAATAATTGAAAGGAATTTCGAATGTTTAGTAAACTAAGGTTCAACTCCCAAACAAACCTAGAACCAAAGAGAATTAGAACTAAAGTAATTAACGCGCGGTAATCCCTGACTGTAGCCACTATCAGCACATCTCTCTTAACGTAGTCCATCCCTCTCGCCCCTCCATCTACGAACAGTCGTTTCAGCAGAACATTAACCTTAATTGCTCTCTAGTGATAAGATCTCCTTTGTTACATCAAGCGTAACATAATCTATATCAGAGGGCAGAAACCTATGACCTGCGTGTCACCAAATGAAGTTCAGGTGACTATTACTTTAGTGTTATATGTTACATAAAATAGATTATAAAACACGACCCAAATAATATGGGAATAGGGATGTTACCTGGCTTAAAAAATCCATTTCGACCGTTAGTCTGATATTAGAAAAATATTACATACGGTTTTTTTTTTATATCATAGGGTTACATTTTGACTGTGATTTTTGCTCAAAATGGTCCATTTTGGTGTTCTTGATCTCGGATTAAAATATATATTACTAATTTTGATTTATTGAATAGTACAGAATAACAACTATTGGCAGAGTTCGGAGCGGTTTCGTATTTTGTAAACTGTGCATTTTTTAAAGTAAACCTTAAATTGTAAAGAAAGAATTTCATAGAGTGCGAGATGGCACTTTTTTGAGAGTCTAGATTGGGCTCTTGGTCTAAACAAATAAAATGAAAAGAAACGATTTCTTTTCTCTTCTAAAATCGTATAATTCGTAGCGGCCTAAAAAAAAATTAATTATATACAGAAAAAATAAACTTCGAAAATAGGTAATAAGTTAACTGAGAATTTCTCCAATTAACGATGATATTATAAATTTGTGTCAGAATAATTATAACCTACTTCTTAAGTAATAAAGATTTCTTAATGTTTAAGCTCAAATATATTATCCTATTTCAATAAAAACTATAAATATAACTGCAACATTACTACAAAATGCGATGCACCGGTCGTCTGAGCTCAAGTTGTGTGGCGTAACGAGTTTGTTTACATTTGTAATAGGGCTCTGAAGAAATAACTTAGATGAGAAGCATTAAAGTTGAGTAGTAGGGGCTCGCTACAAAACAACTATGAAGAAAATGTACAAAGGTGATAATTCCACTCAATGCGTTGCCATAATTTAATGCTGACGCAAAAAAAAAAACATGTTTAATATTTTTCAATACAAAAAAATGTTATCATCCCTATTGTGAGAGAATCCAAACGAGACTTAATACAAGTAGGATTTTCGTTTCATTTCGGCACTATTCTATCTTCTTATAGAAAATAATCAGGAGCTTGATTTTTGATTCCCTCTTTTAAAATCTCCGCCGTATACG